TTTGTTTGCAATTTTTTTCCGCCATATATTAAATATTATCATTTATATTAATCACCGAAAACTTTTTAAAAACTATACAATATTATTACGCTCAATTTGAATATTTAAGGATATGTATAAAATTACAGTATCCATAATTAGTATTATTATTGTCACGCACAATTTGAATATCTAAGGATGCTTATTACATTACATTATTGACATTACATAATTAGAATTACTATTGTCTAAGTATTACTTCAATTTAAAACCAAGTTTAGTTACAGAAGAAAAATTTATGATGCAGTTATTACAGTGCTCAACAACTTTACAAAATGATTGTAATAAATATGAAATGATAATTAAATATGTGCACTTATATTATTAGTCAAATATGACAGCTAAATATGCAAATTTCGAGACTATTAACCTTGAATGAAAACTGAAGATTGATTAATGCATAATTAATTTTCTCAGTTATAATACTCGCCTTCTTTTTTTTACACTCTAAAGTTAATTATGCGGTAATTATTTGATATGCTTTAACTGGTCTGATGAGACGAAAATTTTCATGCAAAATTAATGATGTCAAAAAGAAGGGTGATCATAGTTCTCTAACGAGATTTGTTTCACAAAATTTCTAATTTCGTTATTGTAAAATAAAAATATTTATATCCATTTGTATTGGTCGAGTACTTATCATTAATTTCCATCATGCAGTGATTTTTGCACAACATTCTGTAATTGTACTCTTAAGGATTAGTTATCCATCAATCGACTCGACAAAATCATACATCAAAATCAAATTTGATAAAACGTTCGCAGGAATTTGATAAAACTGCACAAACATTAATCATTACGTGGTGATGATCAACTTCTAAAATATTGTCAGCGCAGTAGCCAATAAATTTTGGTGAAGTTCTTGTGATTCTGTTATGGATTCAACAGATTCTGCAAGGGTGTTTCGAAATCTGCAGAAGGCATCGGCTGTGTGCGACAGTTTTGCAATTTAAATGAATGCTTCTGAGATTTAAATAATTTTGCAGATGGATAGTGATGGACCGATTGTGATTGAGGGTAAGACAGAAATTGTACTAGATGGTGTATTGAATTGTGAAAAAATGAAGAACAAAGGAAGTGATAAGGAAGAAGAGGAAAAAGAGGATTTGGTGACCCCGTGGAATGTGGAGGCAATGAGCGAGAAAGGCGTTAATTACGACAAGTTAATAGGTTTGAGTTAATTAACGTAGTCTGCATTTGCTATGTTATTTAAATTTGCCAACAATTAATTGTTGTGAGCATAAGTTATTTTCTATGTTTATTCTTGCTGAAATAAGTTTGCATATTTCCAATAAAGCTGTTGTTTACAAAAATCGACACATGTATTTGAAAATGAGCTTATAACTATAGGATAATTATCACTAGTTTCACTACTGTGCAGTTATTATCTGTCTATAGTTGAAGTCAAACATCAGTGTTTCTTATAATTTATTAAAAATTGCAAATTTTTAATGTTCTGTACAAGCTGCTTGTTTAAAACAAAGCATGACGCTTGTAGAATTATATATTTTCATTAGAAAACAGTTTATCGTTTTTAAAATCTTCAATAATTTTAATGTTTTCAGTCAAGTTTGGATGTTATAGAATAACGGAAGATTTGATTAGTAGGTTTGAGCGTATTACAGCTCAAAAAGCTCATCCAATGTTAAGGCGTGGATTGTTTTTCGCTCATCGGTAACTATAAATTTTTGTAGATCAGTTCTTTCAAGCATTGCATTTGTTCTTAGTACCAACATAATTCTTGAATTTTTTTTAATTATTAAATTTTTATTAAGTAGATTACAATTATAAGTAGATTGAAGTAAAAAATAAGACTACTTTTACATGCTTTTCATAATATGTGGACATATTAGATGAGGATTGTTGCATGTTTCAAAATATTTATTCTGAAATCATTCCTAGTGATCTGTCTACAATTTTGGATCGGTTAGAACAGAATAAACCGTTTTTTTTGTATACTGGTCGAGGTCCAAGTAGTGGTAGTCTGCATCTTGGGCACCTTGTTCCCTTCTTATTTACAAAATGGTTGCAAGATGTTTGTGGTGTGCCACTGATTATTCAAGTACATTTATTTCAAGATACTTCATTCTTTCACATCTGATTGAAAAAGTTACTATTTTATTTAAGTTGCTGAGGAAGTTTTCTGAATATCATTATTACTCAAATACATGAAAAACATTAGAATACATCCTTAGAGAGTCTTTTATGATATTCAGAAGATAACTAAAGTTTTTAAGTCATTTACAGTTACTAGTTAAATATGTTTTCACTTCGTCTGAAGTATTACAAATTCCGTTTCATTTTTTCTTTTATTAATTTTTGACATCTGTAGTTATCAGTAACTTGCTTATTTGTTAGATAACAGATGACGAAAAGTTCCTTTGGAAAAATCATACACTTGATGAAATCAAGAGTATGGCGAATGAAAATATCAAGGATATTATTGCATGTGGTTTTACTCCTGAATCAACTTTCATATTTTTGGATACTGAATATATTTGGTAAACTTTCTTCTTTCTTATTGGTTCATGATGCGTACATAAGTGATTTCTGAAGTCAAATAGAAAGTATTATGAAGTTTGCTGAGGAATTTCCTTGTATAAGAAAATATTTCATTATTCTTATAATTAATTCTATTAAAGTAAAAACTAGTTCCATTTCAGTCCTGCATTTTTCACAAATATTGTAAAGATATGGAAGCTTGTGACATTAAATCAAGCCCGATCAATTTTTGGTTTCACTGGTGAGGATTCAATGGGTAAAGCAGCCTTTCCAGCCATTGAAGCTGCTCCCTGTTTTAGCAGCAGTTTCCCACTGATATTTAATGGACGAAAAGATATTCCATGCATTATTCCTTGTGCGATTGATCAGGTTTATTTACTATTTATTCATTTACTTATACCTTCTATGACACTTGCATATCTTGGTCGTTTGTTAGACGTATTTCAGGATCCCTATTTCCGCATGTGTCGAGATGTTGCACCTCGTTTAAAATATCCAAAACCAGCCATGATATATAGCTCATTTTTACCAGCCTTGCAAGGTGCTCATAGCAAAATGGCTGCATCCAGTGCAACAACATGCATATATTTAAGTGACACTTCGAAACAAATCAAGAATAAAGTATCGTGTTGCAGTTCTTTGTAAATATTTTTAGCCCTGAAATTTTTTTAGCACATTGATCAGGAATCATTGATGAATGAAAGGTATTAAAAGTATCTGTAAGATAGGTAAATAATTATTTATTGTGTCAATGTTTTTTTCTTTAATCTTATTAAAATTATTATTAGGAAACATTGAGAAAAACTTTATTTCAGATCAATAAATATGCATTCAGTGGTGGACGAGATACAGTCGAAGAACATCGTAAATATGGTGGCAATTGTGAAGTCGATATTTCATATCAGTTTCTACGATATTTTATGGAAGACGATGATAGGTTAGAAAGTATACGTAAGGCAAGTTTTGCATATTATAATTTTATCTTAGAAATTGGAATTAAAATGAAGTTGTGGTCTTGAGTGATTGACTTTAAGGATTTTATTTGAATAACATTTAATTTTTGTGAGATTATCGAAATATAGTCTGATACATGAGATAATTATATGTACTTGTATTTTTTGATTATAAGGCATATTTTACTTTATTTTTCACCATTTTAATCAGTCAGAAGAAAATTTTTTGTGTATTACTAGAAAAATGATCATTTTTGTTAAATATCTGTTGATTATTTTTCAAATTCCATATTTTCGGTAGGTCTGTTCAGGCAAGTATAGGTTTGTATAATCGTTATTTCGTTTCATCTTTTCAGCGTTACACAAGTGGAGAATTGTTAACGGGTGAACTTAAATCGGTAGCTATTGAAGAAGTGCAACGAGTTATCACGGAATTACAAGAAAGGCGGAAAAATATTACTGATGCAGTACTGAAAAGTTTCCTTATTCCTCGAAAGTTGAAGTATAATTATTGAGTTGTTATTCGCTTAGTTTTGTTTCGATATCTTTCTTGCTTGTTTATGATTGGTGCTGAACAATCTTTTAGACGTAATGAATAAGCAATAATTTATTTTTATAATTAAGTATTTTACCTATATTTTTAGCTATTGAGACGTATCCTGCGGAAATTGTCAGTTTAGGAGATATAACCTTGAAAGAAAAGAGTTGGTTATGTATTTAAATTTCTTAAAGCAATATTGTTCAATATAATTTTCTTTTTGAAGGTAAAACTTTTTCAGGTCCGTAATATACCGCTAAATTTTATTTAAATAAGTATTTTGAAACAACATAATGATCAGTCATATCAGTGTTTCTAAATTTTGTTTACTTATTTCTTTTGGCCTCTCATTGACTACGGTGCTCGTTAATTTTTGCGTCGTTAGTGTGACAACGTAAAATATATAATGTGTGAGCTTTAACTTTTACTTTTTCGATGACATTTATCTTATAAATTCTTTTCAATTTTAACATTTCGAACTTGAAACTTTGTATATCCGTCTATTGTGGTATTGTAAAAAATAGAAATGTTAGTAAAAAAGTTCTATTATGGGAAGGAAGGAGGAAACTCGTTTTTCTCTTTTGGCCTGAAAACGTTTCACCTTAGTTTTTAAAATACTTGAGTTACTTAGAGCGAAGTGATGCAAAAATATTTTTCCGCTGTTCTTAGTTGATGTTAAGTTGTAATTTTTCATTGTGTTATGAGAAAACCATCTTTGGTGTAGCGTACTTTATATTCTGTTACTGCTTCGGGATTAATGGTTGCTGGCACAGTTTAAACATTTAATTTCTTGTATAGATGTCATTCCTGTTATTGTGCTTCTTGAAAAATGTATTACAAATTAAATCACCTTTCGTTGTAACGCAGTTTGTTTGAGTTCCAAATTTTCGAAAGCAAATTGATTTGCAAACCAGAGTAGATATCAGTGGTTGAGATAGCATTAGTAATGAGTCTTTGAAGTTACTGAACTGAATCCTAACATTCTGATTACATTCGAGTAAGTCATAATTACTTTGGACAGTGTAAACTTATTAAAATACTACCTACGTAGTGAAAATTACTGCAAGAAATGTTATTTGTTATGTGGAAGTAAGTCTTAGAACTAAGATCTTCGATTTATATTATTTATAACTGATTTGACCAGAATTTCTTCAGTCATTTAATGTATGGTTCTCACAATCAATAATTATTTTTTGCACTAAGACATGTCTTGGGCATCTATTGCATTTTATTCACAAATTGCTCAATATAAAACAGCTTCAGTTTAAAGATTCTGTAATGAGTACTCTTTGATCTAATTGTTGGGAATCGCAACACAATTTTATCAATAATTATAGATTGAGTCTAGTGATCGGTATCCTTTCAGGTATTTCAGGTTCTTTTCCAATAGTAATTTGCAACATGAGAAAAATGAAAAAGAGAAGATAGCAGCGAGTGGTTTCGATCCACCGACCTCTGGGTTATGGGCCCAGCACGCTTCCACTGCGCCACGCTGCTCTTGGGAATGAGGGGTCATAATAAGAATATATATCAAACAATTAACTATCAAAATAATTATATGAATATTAATGTGATGATATTTAGACTTTTATGAGTAATGAGACCAAAAAACTTCGTTTTCCGTGAAATAATGTCAAATTGCAAAAAATACATGTCTATTAAGATAATTATTTATGCTTTATTTTTTTACTTAGATCAATAATTATAGATTGAGTCTATTTAAGTTATGAGATAATAAAATAAGTAGAAAAAAGTTATAATAAAAACAAAGCTATGATTGAGGCTAATAATTTTTACCGCTTACTGAATCATTCAAAATTTTGATACAGATTTAAACTGTTACAAAAATTTGTGATCTCTAAAAAGGTATTATTTTTGGTAAAATCATGACACAGTCATATCATTTGCATTTACTGAAACAAATCATATCATTTGTATTTTGCTATATATTTTATTGAACAAGAATTGGAAAGAAATAATTTACTTAAATTTTTATAGAATAATCGAGTACTAAGATAAGATGATATATTCATTTACTGCCAATAATTCAAGAGTAATACCTGAATCTGTTAGTAGAAAAACAAGCATTGGAAATAAGCTCTTTAATAAATAATCATTTTTCAGCTTCATAAATTAAGCTTTAATTGAAATTTTTCAGCTTCAATTTAAAAATTGATAATATTAATGCAAAATTTTGAGAATTAGTTTTATTTTAAAATTGATTATCGGAAACTAAAATATCAAAAAATTATTCTTATTATATATTTAATTTATATAGAGTTTAAAAATTTATTGCTTATCGTTTCAATTTTTTCATTCAGTTTTTATCAATTTAGTTTAATAATTTTCGACAATTTTAATATTTTTTTAAAGTATAAACACAACATTTATCAGTAATTCAATTTCAATTTGTTCAGAGATTGAAATTATGAAAGTAAATAATTTAAGGGCAAGGAGCAGTTGAGATAAAGTATTTACAACTATAATTATTTATCAATTTATTATCACCAGCACCGCAATAAACAACCATATCATTTTATATTTTGTAATACGTTATATTAATATCAATTCTTATTAAATTGCTTAATTACTTAGGCTTAATCTTATTGAATATTTTGCAGTCAGATATTTTATCATAATTTGCTACAATTTTTTAGTCTAATTCCAGCATTTGTTTTTATCATACATGCTACAAAATTTTTTTAGCGAGTAAGTTTAATATATCAGAGGATAATAGATTATTATTGACACTATTTTAGATAGTGAGAAAATAAAAATAATAAGCATTGAGCTCAAAATCATATCAAACTTCAAAGCAAATCATGTCTTAGTGTAACTTTTTATCATTGCAAAAAAACTGATACGAAAATATATTTAAAAAATTTAATAATTTTTCATGAAACTAATCGATGCACTAATTTATTCAAATGAATATAGAGCAATTTAAGTTTAAAAAAATAATATTATAAAAACAAATATATCAAAAGACAATTATTAATACTTTAGTCGTCTATTATTATTTTTCGCAAATTATTAATTAATCTAGTAATTAAGAATTCGTATTACTTTCGACAAATAATGAAATCTGGATGAATTTTTGAGTGTAAATTAAAATAATTTCAGCAATTCTGTGGACATACATGAAGTAATGACCATTTCAGTGCGGTATAAGTATTTATTCACATGGTTTTTGCTGAGTTTTATTGTCAGAACAACTGATTCTGCTGGTAGGTATTATAAACCTTACATTTTTGATAACCTTAAAATTAATCTAAAAAATTTGAGTGAAAATGATTTTGTTACCAATAAACACCGAATATAAATATTTGCTGATTTATAACTATATTTCAAGTTTAAAATATTTTGAGATCTTATCTTTTAGTATCACAAATTTCAAATTGTTCTTTGAATTTACCAGATAGTATTCAAATTTTACAAAGATTTTTTATACGTTTTCATTAAGTGAATAATTTCAGCATGTCCGGATATTACTGGTAGCTCAGAAGAGGGTAAAGTTACATATTTTCAATCCAATAATGCAATGAAACATTCTCCCGGGACTGTGGCAATGAGGCTTTGTAATTACGGACATGTCAATTCACTTCCATTAACAGTTTATTGCTTAATGGATGGCCAGTGGAATGATAAACTTGGTTATTTCTGATTATTTTTAATTTAATTCAAGTTTTATAATTCTATTTCAATAATATGATTAAAAATTTAAACTGGATTACATGTTTAATATACTGTAGGTGAATGCACAATTGCTTCTGATACTTGCAGTGCACATGAAAGTGGATCAAAAGTTACATACTTTCCAGTAAGTAATTTTATCATTTTTTCTATATTATTTTTAATATTTTTAAATAATTATATGAGTCATTCTTTTTTCATTGTAGCAAAATTATTTTTAATTATAAAGGAAAATTATATACATACGAAATTAAAGTAATGAATTTTTAGACATTTTATTATTTATATATAATAAAGACAAAAAATTACATCATATTCGCACTGTAATCATTAAAATAATGTTATAAAATTATAGTATTAAAGAATTTTCCACAAACTAATTTATTTGATACACTTTAAAATGGAACTAATTTTAGTACTAGAATTGAATATCTAAGCTATTTCGATTGAAATAATTTAATTTCTATTAATTGTTAATTTAAGTTTCGCTAACAAAAATGCAGCGCATTATATTACGATATGTTTTGTAGATTTATGCGCAAAGAATATGAATAAATAATAAAATGATATATCTAACGATTTAGATTATTCATATCTTGAAGAGTTTCTATAGCAATAAAATAGTAATTCATGCATTTATTTATGAGTGAAATAATAATATGTGTACAACACAACTTTTTCATTATAAAAACGTGTAATTATTATTTACATATGACTACTGCATTTTGTACAAATTAATTAATTTCATAAAAGTATGATTGTATGCTTGTTATTAATTTTTTTTAATTAAATGAGAATTTTAAAATTAATTATTTTGCATCAATTAAGTTAAAAATTTAATTTTGTAGCCTGAAAAAAATGGCAAATATCCTACTGGAACATTAGCTATGCTAGTTTGTTCTCTGGATGAGCCACACTCCGGACCATTGTTCGCAGCATGTCTACACGGCAAATGGACTACCAAACTTGGAGAATGTCATTCATCAAATGATGATAATCCTCCAAAACATAATTCAGATACCAATAATCATACTCCAGATGCCAACAATCATAGTCCGGATAATCATACTCCAGATATCAACAATCATAGTCCGGATAATCATATGAGTGATGGTACCGCAAATAGCGTGCCAGGTAAGGCAAAACATTTAAACTACCATTATTTGATATTTGCATGTCACAAAAATTGTAAAATTATATCAAAATCACATCCAAATAATTTTTTAAAGATTCTTAAAAGCAATTGTTGAATTGTCAAATAAATACTTATTTGCTCTCTTGGCAGCTTTCAGAATCACTTTTTCAGATTTGATGAGTGGCATTAAGTTCTATGAATGGCTATGAAGCATTACCATAATGCTCTCTCAAAAAACAATTTGATTGTTTTCAAACTTTGAAATATATATAAATATAGCAAAAAATTTTAGCTCTAGTTACAGTGTTACTGCGACAAATGTCAATTTTTTTCAGTACTGATGAATCTTTTAGAAAAGAATGTAAAGACTAAATTCGTGGCACCAATTGAGAAAATTGAAGCGACAGCAAGTAACATTCCAGAATCGTCCGAAAATAGCATTGAAATTACTTCTTCAGAAGCAGTTGATGCTACAACTTAAAATGATGTGATTACTGAGGCTGATGCTGTCATCGATAACATTACCACAGACTCATCAAATATTCACAAAGCAAACGAATTTGAATAATTTTACGAATCTGAATGATTTACAAAAAATTATTATCGAATGTAAAACAAACAGATTTATACTGTACTTATTATTAATTTTTAAATACATACTGGGATTTGTTTCGAAAATTGAAAGAAACGTGTAGATCATTAATGTAAAACGTGGATAAATCCGTTCATTTCATATGAATATGTCAAACAGTCTTACACGTCGTTACAGATTCTGCTACTGCCCAGAATATATTTCAATTGTTATGCCTACGAAATTCAATTTATCCTGCACAAACGTGCAGTACAACTGAAAAATTCATTATAAAACCACAAAGCAAGTTAACGTAATGCTTTAATATGAGCGTGAAGTGATACTTTTTGATTGAAACTTTTTATGCCAAATTAATAAAAGATCGAACTCCAAATGAAATGAAGAACTGTTTGTGTTTGAATTATTTT